CCGTTTCTACTAAAATTAGAAAGAAATTAATTGGACAACTAAAAATACATAGAAAAAATAAATTAGCCGGGCATGGTGGCGCATGCCTGTAGTCCCAGCTACTCGGGAGGCTGAGGCAGGAGGATCGCTTGAGCCCAGGAGTTTGAGGTTGCAGTGAGCTATGATCATGCCACTGTACTCTAGCCTGGGAAACAGAGTGAGACCCTGTCTCAAAAAAAAAAAAAAAAAAAAAAGTAAAATATTAACAGATAGTATTTTAAACAGCAAAAATCATGATGGTGGTATGATTCACCATAAGTGAAGATCCAACAGCTATTCTTTAAGCATAGGCCTGTTTTCATTTACTTTCTTTCTGGTTCTAGGTTGTGTTCTGAATGATGAGAAAAGATGTGACCCTTAGTTAAGTGAGCTTGTGTACTGTATTTAAGTTCATACACAGCAAAAGACACCAACACCGAGATGCATACAGAAATTCTACTATTTAAAGAAAGAGTGTAATATTGTGAGGAAAATAATGGCACAAAAAGCCATCGCTATTCCTGAACTGTAACAGCAATTTTCTAGTGCATACCCACAAGCTAAAAACCCTAGCAAGACTGATAAATATTTAAGAAGCAGGCTAAGTTACATGATCATTTACTTTCACATGCCCTGTCACAGCAATATGGTAATGTGAGAAGAGGTGTTTGTCCTATTTGCTGATATTTATATGAATGCATTCTTTCCCATTACCTCCTGCCAAAAGAATGAATGACAAGGGATCATTTGATGCCATAGGCATCAACTTTGCTGATGGTAGAATATTAATTTTTCTTACTTTTCTATGAAATATTCTAAGATTAGATTTCAAAGTATTCTAGCTAATGATGTCTCCTGAATTTCAAGTGTGGTATTTTTCAGGATAGGCAAGAACGTGGAAGAATCATTTCTATCTGGCTATATCTACACTATTGGTATTTTACTGGGACATTTAAAAACAGTCAGCAGGGCAGTTCCAGTAATATCCCTCTCAATTCCTGAAATACCTGCTACTAAGAAGCGACACTACTTTCATGGCAGACATAACCATAGTATCTGCCAGGGAGATACCGAGTGTATAGTGGGGAAAACTGGCAAGGATTCACCCTGCCTGAATGAAATCTTCACCCAAACCATCCAAGTATTTTGGCTCTGATTCCAAAATCGTTTAGATGCTTTCTGCTTAGCTTCTTAAATATTCTGATACCAGGAGTCAGAAGCCACATGTAGAGAACATAAGCACTCAGGTCCCTGGAAAATATCCCCCACAGAACATTAAAAGAGTGGTATTCTTGTTTATACAAAGAGCAATATAGTATAGTGGTTAAGCGCTCAATATTTGGAGGCATAATGATTTCAAATCCCAACTACTGTTTACTTAACTTTTCTGTGCTTCTCATTAAATGAGAATAATAATGCTTACTTCAAGTGTTGTTATATGGATTGAGTTAACTTATGCATACTTAGAATAGTGCCTGGCACATAGTGCTCAATAAAGCACTTTTAATTTTTCATAATAATTATTAAACATCTCTCATGGTTTTGATTTGTGTGAGTCAAAATCCAAGTATGATCAACTCCAAAAAAATGTATGATTTCGAATTACCAAAGAAATGCCACAATGTAAAGGCCTCAGTGGTCAGGTAAGAACATTAATGAGTGTGTAGTATAGAGGGGGCAGGGTTGCTTTAAAAGGCAGACAGAGCCAGGTGGGTTGGCTGTAATCCCTGTAATCCCAGCAACTGGGGAGGCTGAGACGAGAGGATCACTTGAGTCCAGGAGTTCGAGGTTGCAGTGAGCTATGACTGCGCCACTGAACTCCAGCCTGAGTGACAGAGCTAGACTCTGTCTCTTAAAATTTTATTTTTTTAATTTTACAAAAAAGGCAGACAGAATGTCTGCCAGACAGATTGTGAAGGGCTTTGAATACTATACCAAGAAGTTTAAATTTTATTTTATGCTTTTAGAAACAGAGCCTAGCTATGCTGCCCAGGCTAGTCTTGAACTTCTGGGCTCAAGGGATCCTCCTGCCTCAGCCTCCTGAGTGTCTGGAACTACAGGCGTGTGCCACTGCACCTGGCTTGATTTTTATATTATTTTAATTTATATTAAATTAATTCATGTTTATTTTATAAGCATTAAGAGGCCATCTAAAGTAATTTCAATTGTCAAAACATTGTCAGAATTAATTTAAAACAAACTTTAAATCTAAGTTATAGAACTCACAGAAATCAATATGAGGGAATTCCAGAAAAATACAGTGATTAGTGATTTAAATATTTTAGTAGCAATACAATCTAAATTGAAACCAAAACCAAAATGTCAGTGAATTTAAATGAGTACAAATGGAGCCTTTTTAGTCCCAATATTGAAAAAGGCACACTACATGCTGTTTCCTGGCTCCATAATCCATTTCCTCCAATTGTTGGAGGCACTGACTGAATCCATCTGTTTCAAGTCCCTACCCACCACAACAAAGAAAAGAGCTGTCCCTGTCATCTGCTCATCTTTCAACCTATAGATCTGGAAACAAAACGTAATACTGGAACTAAAAGTTCAGCACCCTTGAATGTATGTATTCTAAATGCTAACACATACATAATGCAGAGTACAAACATAGCCTCAGAATAGATGTCCAGAATGTTTGAGATATAGGAATCAAAAAAGGGGGAAAAAGCCTTAATTCAGGAAAAAAAAAAAAACGAGACACAACTGATTTCACAAAAATGCCAAAGAGCAAACATCCTCTTTTTTCCCTTTGCTATTCTAATCTACTTTCATCTGTGCAACCAGATAAGTTTGCTAGAATTGTGTCATAGTAATGAATACCATCAAAGGGCTCACAGAATTTTCAAGCCCATTGGCCTTAGTCCAATCTTCTTTTTATTTTAAAAATAAGTGGATTAGGCCCAAAGCAGTACTTTTCAAAGTGCAAAGCAAGAACATGATTTTAGTTGTTACATATAGAAGGAGTGCATTTAATAGTTATATATTTATTATAATGTATACTAGGAAAATGGTATAAAATACATCAAAATCATGATTTCACAGATTATCACATTGGACACAAGGGTAAGGTTAAAAAAAAAACAATTAAAAATATGAAGTAGTCTGGGCGCAGTGGCTCACACCAGTAATCCTAGCACTTTGGAAGGCCAACATGGGAGGATGGTTTTGAGGTCAGAAGTTCAAGACCAGTCTGTGCAATATAGAAAGACCCTGTCTCTACAAAAAATGGAAAAAATTAGCAGGGTGTGGTGGCTCACACCTGTAGTCCCAGCTACTTGGGAGGCTGAGGCAGGAGGATCACTTGAGCCCAGGAGTTTGAGGTTGCAGTGAGCTATGATGACACCACTGCACTCTAGCCCATGTGACAGAGCAAGAGCCTGTCTCAAAAAAAAAAAAAAAAAAAGAAGTAAAATATTAACAGATAGTATTTTAAACAGCAAAAATCATGATGGTGGTATGATTCACCATAAGTGAAGATCCAACAGCTATTCTTTAAGCATAGGCCTGTTTTCATTTACTTTCTTTCTGGTTCTAGGTTGTGTTCTGAATGATGAGAAAAGATGTGACCCTTAGTTAAGTGAGCTTGTGTACTGTATTTAAGTTCATTCACAGCAAAAGACACCAACACCGAGATGCATACAGAAATTCTACTATTTAAAGAAAGAGTGTAATATTGTGAGGAAAATAATGGCACAAAAAGCCATCGCTATTCCTGAACTGTAACAGCAATTTTCTAGTGCATACCCACAAGCTAAAAACCCTAGCAAGACTGATAAATATTTAAGAAGCAGGCTAAGTTACATGATCATTTACTTTCACATGCCCTGTCACAGCAATATGGTAATGTGAGAAGAGGTGTTTGTCCTATTTGCTGATATTTATATGAATGCATTCTTTCCCATTACCTCCTGCCAAAAGAATGAATGACAAGGGATCATTTGATGCCATAGGCATCAACTTTGCTGATGGTAGAATATTAATTTTTCTTACTTTTCTATGAAATATTCTAAGATTAGATTTCAAAGTATTCTAGCTAATGATGTCTCCTGAATTTCAAGTGTGGTATTTTTCAGGATAGGCAAGAACGTGGAAGAATCATTTCTATCTGGCTATATCTACACTATTGGTATTTTACTGGGACATTTAAAAACAGTCAGCAGGGCAGTTCCAGTAATATCCCTCTCAATTCCTGAAATACCTGCTACTAAGAAGCGACACTACTTTCATAAGGCTCAGGGAACAGTGTCAGAAAGCTGCCAATATCCAAACTCCCCTCTCGCTCTCCCAGTCGCCGTCCTACCACTCCCACTGCAGATGACAATAGCAAAAGGCGAAATGATACTCCCTTCTCGTCCTTTCTTTTCCCAATTTTTTTGTCTTCTGATTTCCTCCCTACCATCAGCTGCCTTTCCTAACACTGTGGTGACTAATGATTAAAAAAGAAAGAAAAGAACGAGGTGAAACAGCCCTTTACAGTACTTCTCTCTCTCCTCCACCCACTACTCCAACCCTGAATTGTGAAATTCATTCTTTTTACTGATCCTTTTCTTCGTACAGTAAAACCGCGAGGTAAGGGTGGACTTTCCTAGAGAGCAAGAGCTATCCAATACTTCGGGATCCTTCTTCAAATAATTATCTCAGAGCTATCTGATCACTGTGTTCACCATACAGTCTATTAATCTCGACCACAGCAACACAGCGGGGGTGAGAAGGTGGGAGTTGATCTATGCTTGGTTTCGAGGACGGGTCCCGGGACCACAATTCCGCCACCCTTCCTCCGCCAGCCCCTCGACCGTCTCCTATCGCCTTGCGTCCTCGCTCCGGCCGGATCTGCCGAGTCCGGGCCAAAGCGCCCCCTCCTCCTCTTAAGCCTGACCCCACCAACTTTTCAACCGTCACGATATACTCCTCCTCAGGACATTCTCCAATCTTCATCCCGGCCAGCTCCCTGAGTCCTACTCCTGGAGACTCACCAAGCGGTTCCGGTCACTCCTCTCCGGCCTCGGCAGCTCGGACACCCCCAGACCGGACCTAGAGCTGCACCCCTATCGCGCCTGCGCGCGCCAAGCCCGCGCGCCTGCGCACTTCCCCGGGGCTGCCGGCGCGGACACACCTCAGCAGTTGAAGCCAATCACGGTGCGGGGGGGTTTAAATCTCCCTGCCACGCAGGCGGAGAGCCCGGGAACTCACCCGTTAACCGAATAGATTCCAGACCCGCCCGAAGGTGGGAGGTGTTCATGCAACAAACATTTATCAGGGGCAAACCATTTGCCAGGGATTGTACAGGATGAACACTGAGGAAAAGAAGGCGAATAGAATGCCTCTCCTGCTCTACAGGGTCTTTTAATCTGCCTAGACTGAGAGATAGATTTGTAAACAAATTACATTGGGTAGAATACTGTGCACCGCACATAGATCCAAGGCGCCTTTGGCTCACAATAAACAAAGCGTTTTATTCTTAGGGGTGTCTGGAAGGATTCCTGGAGGAAGTGACTTTTGAGTTATGAAGGATAAGCAGGAGTTCCCCCGGAAGTCCGGGAGGGAGGGAGATAGTTTTCCAGGCTGTGGGAACAGTCTATGTCACCAACCGCATAGTGCCTTCCGGACATTTCTTGTAGTTCATCCTTGTTAGAGGTTTAGCGCTCATCGTTATATCCCTGGGTGTATAGGAAAATAAGCCTTAAAAGGCTAGCAATGGCCAGATCTTGGAAGGTCTTTGAATTTTGGACTAGTGAGCTTACACTTTATACTATGGCCACTGAGAGCTATTGAAGGGTTTTAAGAAAGTGGATGATTATTTTAAACCACTGGCTCCAGGAACACTTCCACCCATCTCTAAGAATAAAACAAAGTGCTGGAAATCAGAAAAGAGTGTTTTAAAGAAGAGGTAGTCTATTCCTAAGGGATCGAGGAAGACGAACCCTGAAAAATGTTTTCTGAATTTAGTAACGAGAGGTCATTGGTGATCTAAGTGAGAGCTGGTGGAATGATGGGGTTGAAAAATAGATTGCAATAGTTTGTGGAGGGGGGAAATGCAGAAATGGGGACAGGTTGTAGAATACTTTTGGAAAGTTTAGCCTTGAAAGGGAGGAGAGAGAAGATCATGAGGGGTCAAGATTTTGTTGTTGTTGTTGTTGGAATTAAGACAGGAGAAACTTGAACATGGTCGGGAAGATCTAACTGAGAGAAAACAGTTGAACAAAAAAAAGAAAGGAGAAGGGATAGTCAGTAGGTAAAGATCTTGAAAAGGTAAGAGTAGAGGCAATTCAAAGCACTGGCAGGAGGAATGGTCTTGGAAGAGAAGAGGAGAGAGAGGGAGAGAGAGGAAAGAGATACTGCTTCAATTATAATGAGAGGAAGTATGTGTGTTTGTAAGTTTGTGTGTGTAGTTAAGTAACAGGAAGTTAAAGAATTGTTCTCATTTGATGACATATTTTCTCTGTGAAGTAGGAGACGAGGTCATCTCCTGATAGAAAAGGACATGGTATTGGTAGTTTTAAAGAAAGTTGAGACGACTTGGAATACTGTTGTAGAAAGTGATAGAACAAATTGACCAGAGAAAAGTAGTAGGACTGGTAAGTAGTATTGAGGGCCTGTTGGTAAAAATGAACTCACCAGTTTCTGCCCCTCTGTGTAGATTTCTCAAGTAGTAATCACTTCCTGAGTGTAGAGGTGAAGAAAATAAATAGCTGAGTTCATTTAGGGTTGAGATGGTCATTGATATAATGCCATGTTTCTTAAACAGGGACAATTTTGCCCTCCAGAGGACTTTGGCAATGTCTGGAGATGTTTTTTGATTATTGTGATGATGAGGGGGTACTACTGGCATCTACTGTCCAGTGATGCTGCTAAACATCTTACAATGCATAGGACAGCCTCGACAACAAAGAATTATCTGCTCCAAAATGTCAATATTTCCAAGATTGAGAAAACTTGATCTAGGGTTACTTGGTGCTCACCAATATCTGACCTTGAGGTCTTCTATGGCTTTTCCTTGGACTATGGCCCTGAGCTTATAGGGTAAAGGATTCCACTGCATGCCTTTAAAGGAGGTAGAATGAGCAGCATATTGTAGACCTTGAGTGTTTCAAGGACTTGTGATGTCATAAATACAGAATTGGAAGAGTTTCCTAAACCTCTAGAAGCAAATCTGGATTTACACATAAATGGAGGTAGCTGCTTTGAAGGCCTTGTTAAATAGAGATGTTATTATAATTTCAATAGTATAGAAGGAGTAACACTTCACATCATTATTAACTTTAATGTAACTTCATTTATCTGACTAGTCTTGGTCACTAAAATAGGGTCCTGAAGGTATGGGCTAAGTTTAATGACAAATATAAATACTATTAGGTACGAGTAAGAGTATAATCATTGGTATTGCTGGAATGTCTACTCTGTGATAGGCATTGTTCATGAATAGGCACTTGTCCTATGTTATCTCATTTAATTCTGGCAACACCCTGTGAGATATCATTATGCTGATTTTAACTCGGGATACTGAGGTTCCAAGAAAACTTGTAACTTGCCCAAAGTCACAAATTACTAGTAGCTAGAAGAAGATCTGAACACGGGTCTGTCTGTTCTAAAGCTCTTACAGCTTACGTTAAACTTCGAGTTTCACAAGGAAGGAATGGTGTGAAGATTTAGCCGAAACAGTTGCCACTCTCTAAAGTGAATGGCGGGGCACTTCGGAAGAGAGTAGGCGATAGAGGGAGGCCGGGAAAGAGCAAGGAGAGAATGAAAAAGGGGCCATGGGAGGCTTAGTTACAGCGTCCAATGCAGCGAACTGAGTCTCCCGCCCGCTGGTCCACCTTTGTTCTTCCTCCATTCTTTTTGCGAAAAGCCTTTTCCCCCTGTGTCCGTTGTTCACTCTCTTGTGTTCAAATAAAGCTAGAATATTGAGAAAGGCGGACCTCAAAGGGGGGGGGGGGGGGGCAAAAAAAAAAAAAAAAAAAAAGAGCGTGACGGCGTCGGTGTGGCGGCGGCGGCGGCGGCGGTGCCCGGCGGGGAGCGGGTCCGGAGCAGGCTCCTGGACCCGAAACTGAAGGGGGCGTCTGGGGCGTCAGGGAGCTCCCTCGCCTGGCCCTCAGCGGCCTGATGGAGTAAGAGGGGTCGGCTGTGAATGTGAGTATCGAGCGGCTGGCCTGCGTTGAGCGGATCGGAGCCAGAGGATCCCGGTGGTCTGCTCCTTAGGGAGGTTGTGGGGCTGCAGGACGCGGCCGGGTCTCTGCTCCTGCAGGCTGCGGGGCACGGGCAACCCAGTTGTCCCTCTCCCAGAGCCCGCGCGGGTGTACGGGCGGGCGGTGCTGCTGGCTTCGGGGTACGGATTTTCGCGGGGGCGTTCCAGCTCTGCTCCCAGCCCCAGAAACAAACGTGGCTCCAAAGCCTTGACCTTTAGAAGTCGCTGACTTCGTTCAGCTCCCGGTTGAGCAGGGAGCCCAAAGACCCTGGTTCTTAAAGGTTGTGGGTCTCAGGCCAGCGACACCTTTCGGCCTGTTGTGAGTGCCATCCTCCGTTCTTTTTCCTCCTTTTCGCCTTCTCTCCTTGTGGGATGCATCTTAATAATAGCAACTAATTACGGAGCTCTTAGTATGTGTCCATTTAATATTTAGTTCGAATCTCGGTGCATAATTACGGAGAGGAAATGCTTTGCACCCTCTCGCCTCCTTCAGTCTGTTCAGTTTAATCCTCTTGGAGAGTAAGATTAAGCCACCTTGTTGGGAAGTTTGAGATTTCTGGGGCTTTTAGCAATTTGAGACTGCCGTCCTAGTTAAGGGAAGTTCTTCTTTTCCATCCAAATGAGTGCTTTATCCACCATAATGGTTTATACCCAGATTATTCAAGCCACGATAACTTTAGAGTATTTACTAAGAGCTTAGTGCTGTTGTAAATCCCATGGGAAATCTTAAAATTTGTTTTAAGCCCTGTTCTCAAGTTTGATGGGTGAGTGGAACAGTGGAAGATAACATTCGGATTCAACTAGGATTTATTTAGCACTGGTGGTTCCATGGTGTATAATGGTGAGCACTGTGGACTCTGAATCTGATATTTAGCACGTGTGCCAAATACACTCAGGTGTCACAAAAAAGAATTAATGAGATATTGTAATGGAAGGTGATTTTTTTGCAAGACATTTCGGATTTTGGTGGTAATTTGCTTAAGCTAACCTAGCTAGGGTAAGTGGCAAAATTCACCTAATATGATACCAAAGCTCATCTTCTTCCTGTTACAGCAAGTTAGATATTGTAAGCACTTCTGGGAAAGCAAACTGCGTTACAGTTACAGTTTCTAGAGTTAAGTCTCTTTTTTTTTTTTTTTCTTTTTCTAGGGTTAACTCTTGAATCTAGAAAATGGTAGGAGCCCCTACTTAGAGATACTTAGTAGATGGTTTTTGAAGAAATCTTTAAAATGGCCTGGAAGGAGCAAGAGGACGTGAAGGAGTCTGATTAGGTTAATGTTCAGAACCTATTGCTTTAATTAAGAGGAGAATATTTAAAAAGGAAAAACTAGCTAAGCAGGGTGGCTCATGCCTGTAGGCCCAGCTATTGGGAGGCTGAGGTGGGAGGATAGCTTGAGATGAGACCAGCCTGGGCAACATAGTGAGGATCTGTCTTAAAAAAAAAAAAAAAGACTATGAATGGTGATTAGTGTACTTCTAGATTAGAGCACATGTAGTCTGAAGGCTACTCTACAAGAGATGTGAGGAACAATGGTAAGTGCTAGACTACTTGGGACCAGGAATGGCTTAGAAAGAAGTATACTTATTTTGTGTTTTGTAATTGAATTTCTTAGTGGGAAATTGAGGATTAATTTATGTACCCAGTGAATAAGAGCACCTAGGCAGACAAGTTACCTATGAATACTCTAATTGCCCCTGTAGTATGTGAAATTGCTAATTGTAATGTTGCAGTCAATTGTGTTTGTTTTTTTTTTGTTTTTTTTTGAGACAGAGTCTTGCTCTGTTGCCTGGGCTAGAGTGCCATGGCGTCAGCCTAGCTCACAGCAACCTCAGACTCCTGGGCTCAAGCGATCCTTCTGCCTCAGTCTCCCAAGTAGCTGGGACTACAGGCATGCGCCACCATGCCCAGCTAATTGTTTCTTTTTTTAGTAGAGACGGGGTCTCGCTCTTGCTCAGGCTGGTCTCGAACTCCTGACCTTGAGCGATCCACCTGCCTCGGCCTCTCAGAGTGCTAGGATTACAGGTGTGAGTGTTTTTTTTTTTTTTTTTTAATCTGAAAGAGCACCAAGAAATGAATTTCCAGATGTTATCAATAAAGTACTGGTTAAATAAATTTGTGCATTTGTTAGAACGAGCCAGTTTTATATGTGCTAATATTGAGTGATCTCCAAGATACTGTGAGAGAGAAAAGGTGCAAAAGAGTGTGTGCATTTTGTAGCCATGGTAGTTTTAAAAAATGTGTTGTATATAGTCGGCCCTCCATATGCATGGGTTCTGCATCCATGGATTCAACCAACTGACAGATTATATTCAGGAAAAATAATTCCACAAAGCAAAACTTGAATTTGCCAAATGTTGAGTACTACATTGTATCCATGACAAATGAAGTCACGTGTGCATTGTATTAGGTATTGTAAGTAATCTAGAGATGATTTAAAATATATGGGAGGATGTGCGTAGGTTGTATTCAAATACTACACCATTTTATATAAGGGTTTTGAGCATCCTCAGATTTTGGTATCCACGGGGGTTCCTGGAACCAATACCCCATGGATACCAAGGGACGACTGTATGGCATAGGATATCTGTGGAAGGTAGTCAAAATCAGAAACAGAAAGTAGAATGGTGGTTTCCAGGGGTTGGGGGAGGAGGAAATGAGTTATTGTTTAATAGGTGTAGAGTTTCGGTTGCACAAGATAAAAATAATTATGGAGATGGATGGTGGTGATAGTTGCACAACATTATGGATGTATTTAATACCACTAAACTACACACTTAAAAATGGCTAAGGTGGTAAATTTTATATTGTGTATTTTAACACAAAAAAATTGGAAAAAAAAATTTCTGGAAGAATACATAAGAAACTGGTAAGAGTGGCTGGAGGTATCGATGGCTGGGAAATAGGGGAGGGAGAATAATTTTCTGTAATTTTACTTTTTTGTTTTTGGAAGTAAGGCCTCGTTCTTTTGCTCCAGCTAGAGTGCAGCAGCATCCACATAGCTCATTGCAACCTCAAACTCCTGGACTCAAACAATCCTCCTGCTTAGTCTTATGAATAGCTGGGACTACAGACACATGCTGGCACAACCATGCCCAGCTAATTTTTTATTTTTTGTAGAAACAGGGTCTTGCTATGTTGCTCAGGCTGGTCTTGAACTTCTGGCCTCAAGTGATACTCCCGCCTCAGCCTTCCAAAGTGCTTGGATTATAGGCCTGAGCCACATATCAGCCTAATTTTTCTTTTTATTATGACAGATTTTTTTCTTTTTTTGAGACAGGGTTGCCCAGGCTGGAGTGCAGTGGCACAGTCATAGCTCACTGCAGTCCAGAACGCCTAGGCTAGAGTGATCCTCCCACCTGAGTTTCTCAAGTGGCTGGGACTACAGGTGTGAGTCACCACACCTGGCTAATTTTTAAATTATTTTTGTAGAGACAGGGTCTTGCCATGTTGCCCAGGCTGGTCTGAAACTCCTGGCCTCAAGCAATCCTCCCACTTCAGCCTCCCAAAGTGCTGGGATTAGAGGCATGAGCCATTGTGCCTGGCCTTATTATGAAAAAATTTTGAACAGCTGGAGAAGTAGAGAAAATAATATATGGAACCCCTATAAATCTATCCCTCAGATTTTAGAATCTGTTAATACTTTGCAATATTTGCTTTAATTCCTGACATTTGACCCCTATATATTTTAATATCTAATAAAAACTTTTTTTGCAGTGATAATTACAGTGAATAATAATAAATTCTCTAATACCCTGTTCTTATTAAAATTTCTCCAGATTTTTTTTTAACCATTTTTGATTCAATTTCTGATCAAAGGCCATGCATTGCTTTTTGATTTTTTTGTTTGTTTATTTGAGACAGGGTCTCTCTCTGTCATCCAGGCTAGAGTGCAGTGTCATCATCATAGCTCACTGCAACCTCAAACTCCTGGGCTCAAGAGATCCTCCTGCATCAACCCCGCCCTGGAGTAGCTGGGACTATAGGCACACACTACTATACTTGGCTAATTTTCTGGGTTTTTTTGTAGAGATAGGGTCTTGCTCTTGCTTAGGTCTTGAACTCCTGACCTCAAGTGATCCTCCCACCTCGGCTTTCCAAAGTGCTAGGATTACAGGCATGAGCCACCACGCCCAGCCTTGCATTTGATTTTTATGTGTCTTTTAGTTTTTGGTTTTTTTTCTTTTTTCCTTGGCCTGCTTTTGATTCTTCCAATGATTTTTATGTGTCTTGAAGTCTCTTTTACTATAGAACAAGTTACTTTTTTCCCTCTTTCTTTGTTTTCCCCCCTTATAACTTGTTGAAGAGACCTGGTCAGTTATCTAGATTTATCTAATTGATCCCTGGTGATAAAATTTAACATGTTACTACAATGTGGAAGCTAGAGCAGAACACTTGATTGGATTCAGGTTAAACACTTCAAGGATGGTAATACAGGCTATGCTGTGTGTTCTAGTTTTCACATGATTAGTGATGCTGAGATAGATTAGTGGGTTTAGGTGGGGAGTGTGAGTCCTCCATTGTTAAGTTACGTGTCTCCCCTTGAAACCAGCTGTAAGCCCTATTGTACGTTTTAAATTTTGAAACGACTAGTATTATTCAAAATATAAATGATTACTTTTTGGTGGTGTGGGGGACGGGGTCTCACTTCTTGCCCAGGCTGGAGCACACAGTCATAGCTCCTTGTAACTTCTAACTCCTGGGCTCAAGTGATCCTCCCACCCCAGCCTCCCAAAGCATTAGGACTATAGGCGTGAGCCACTGCGCCTAGCCTAAATAATTATTTTTAAAAAGACAAAGCTAACTGTAAGAAATTGCTTCTTCTTTTTTTTTTTTTTTTTAAATCTGAATCTGTGTTAACTATT